ATAATACCTTTAGTTTTCTTTCTACTAACTTATCTTCTGGAGAGAGGTAGCAGTGGCATCGAGCTCTTTGAATTTGGCGGTTGGCTAGATGTCCAGAGTGAGGCAGTGGCTCGGGGCCTGACATGGGTGTCTCGGTGAGTTCCCAATGCCTGGTGTATGGACTAAAGGTGAGGTTGAGGCCTGGCGCCGATGGTGCCTGGATCGGGGCTTTGGCAGTCTGATGTGTGGCAGCGGCTGAAGGCTGGGATCGGGACTTTGCTGGTCTGAGTTTTTAGGAGGGAGCTCAACGTGGCAATAAAGGTTCCCTTGACATCTGCAGCGACAATGAGAGCAGGGGAGATTGAGACGGTGTGGGGAAAGTGTGCCAAAGCGGAGGAGATTGAGCCTAAATCAGAAGTGCAGTCCCAGCATGGCTAAGCACTTAAGAAAGACTGAAATGGTTGAACTTTTAACTTTATTTCTTCATTTTTCAACTTTATACTAAGAAGGACTGTAATGTTTAACTTTTATTTATGCTATACTATAAGTGACTGTAATTTTTAACTTTGTTTCTTATTTCTTTCTACCTTGTTCTTAAGTTTTTGTATGTAGGCACTTGTACCTAAGATGACACGTCATGTGAAGACATTGAAAAATTTTCACTGTACTTTTGTACTTGAGTGCACGTGACAATAAAGTCTAAATTAAATCTGTCATTAATTGCTCAACTCACCTCATTTCTATGCGGCTTCCAATTCTCTTTTTCTTCCTTGAGAAACTAGATGGTGCCAATCCCACCATGAATTTCAGAATGGTTACTTGATGATAGCATCTAACTGTTTGCTTCTTCAGATTTTCATCCAACTCTGTCTTCACCACAAGGTCCTTGCAATGTCCATCAACAGCTTCCTCCTCCCTTTATCAATGCAAGTTGGCAAGAGCAAACCAGAAGTCTCACCATATCATCAGACCTGCTCTTGGCCCAAATCAGACTCCACTTCAGACCTTCAGGACTTCATTTTTTTTCTTCTATAACTTGCATGTTTCTGCCAAGTCCCTTTGCACACAGGAACACACACAAATCTAATGCATCTACACAGGATGCATCTTATGGTCCTTAATTCCTTAGCCCTTATTCACTTTGCCCTTACTGGACACTTTCAGCCTCTACGGCTTGAATTGCTTTTTAGTGCACAGGCTCTTCCGTGCTTAGTTACAGCACATTAGCTTCTGTGGCTTGCTTAACTTTGTAGCACAGAGAGACAGGCTTGTCACTATACTACCATGCCACATTATTGTCATACCTACAGCATATGTCAGCAGCTTACATGGCAAACACAGTGTATATGCTTCAATGGCATGTCTGAAAGTCAAAGGGGTCTAATCTTTAGTCGGGTCAAGGGGGACCACAGTCAGTCAATGGACTTGTCCGACTTCAGTCCAGTATTAAAAAATTCCTAACTCCAGACTAGGTTTTCCCTAAGGAAAAAGGCTCCTCTGAGATGCTGTGAATCATGTCATCTACCAATGGTCTTGATTCTATGAATATTAACCTAGCAAGTTGTAAAAATTTCTTATGCTGCACAAGTTTTACTGGACTATTCCTGACACACAATGGGAACATGTTCCCTGAAATTGTGCAGTTCTAGCATAGGGAACTGCCTATGAATGTAGGAGGTACTATCAGTAAGTTCACACAGAGATTCATGCAGCATGGAAACAGACCCTTCGGTCCAGTTAGTCCATGTGACCATATTACCAAACTAAACTTGCCTGTATTTGGCCCAAATCCCTCCAAACCTTTCCTGTTCATGTACCTACCCAAATGTCTTTACAATATAACAGTGAATTGTTCAGTTTTAACAATGCACAACTCTAGCCAATGCATTACAGTAGAATTTTAAAAAGATGTGTAGGAGTACAACTGAACCAATAATATGGATTACACAACTGAGGAATGCGGATAGATTGAGGAAGCACAGTTCACAGAGATCGTTTCGACATCTTGACCTTGTACCAAACTACTACCAGAAAGCGATGTTCAAGTCCAATGTAGAAAAGTAAGCTGTCAACTTGGATTCAACTGGTTCACATAGAGAATAAGTAAGTGTTTGGAGAAGAGATATCAGGCAGAGAGCATCAGGAAATCAGAGAAATATCTGGAACATTTCTGATGAAAGAAGTGATTGAGGAATTTGAGACAGGATTGGTTATTTCAAAAGAAACTTTATAACACAAAAATTGGTAGTGTGGTAAACAGCAAGGAAGAAAGCTTTAGACTACAGGATGATATAGACAAGATGGTCAAATGGGCGGAACAGTGGCAAATGGAATTTAATCCTGAAAAGTGTGAGGACGAACATAGCAAGGGAGTACATGTTTAAAGATAGGATCATTGGAAGTACAAAGGGTCAGCGGGATCTTGTTATACATATCAATAGATTTTTGAAGGCAGCAGGAATGGTAGACAAGATGGTTAAGAAGGCACATGGGCTACTTGCATTTATTAGTTGAGGCACTGAACACAAGAGCAAGGAGGTTATAATGGAGCTGTATATAACATTAGTTAGGCTACAACTAGAGTATTGTGTGCAGTTCTACTCACCACACAATAAGAAGGACATGATTACACTAGACAGGGTGCAGAAGAGATTCACCGGAATGTTCCTTGGGCTGGAGTGATTTAGCTTTGGAGAGTTATTAAATAGGCTGGGATTGTTTCCCTCAGGGCAGAGAAGGTTGAGGAGGAGGCATTTGTCTGAGGTGTTCAAAATTCTGAGAAGCTTAGATAGGGTAAATAGGGACAAACTATTCCCCTCATAACCAGGGGCATCATATTAAGGTCAGGAGCTGGAGATTTAAAAGGGATTTGAGGAAATATTTCTTCACCAGAGAGTTGTTGGTATCTCGAAGCCTCTTTTTAAAGAATGGTAGAAGTGGGAACCCTCAAGACATTTAAGGACTATTTAGGTTAGCACTTTAAATGCCATGGCATACAATGCTACAGGCTAGATGTTGTAAATGGAATTAGAATGGATAAAAGTTTGACAACCAGTGTGGACATGATGAGCTAAAGGGCCTCTTCCCATGCTTAAAAATTTTGTGACCATGAGATGATGAAGGTAAAAAACATAAATGTACCACTGCCACTGATCCTGGAGAGTTCCTGTCTGTCATATTTAAATTGGAAAAGCACAGCAATAGGTTGACAGGATTTTAAGACTATGTAAGGTGATGGAAAGAAAATTAACCAAAGCATGTTGGTAATGTCCAACCAATTTCACATTTGACTTTTACTGTAATCTGTTGTTTGAGTGATGCAGCTGTTTATAAAGATGAACGGCTGATCAAATTGCAACCCCTGCTTGAAACTTGCAGTCTTAAGGCTTGAGAAGAGTATATTTATGTGGTGTGGGTAGTCACAATGTTGAACCTTTTTACATATTGCAGTGATTGTAACAAGGTCAGCCAGGTGGACCTCATAGAATGTGAGGTCCCTGCTGTTTACTTGGTCCAATCATGGAGCCCTGCCTGACAGATAAGAACAGGAGTGTTGGACATCCTGTCCACTCTGACAGCTGGATCTGATGAAGTTGGATCAGTGTCAAGAGCTCTCCATGCGTAAATGAAGGGAGATTTGGTATCAGGATACTAACCTCTATGGAATTATTTCATAAAATGCACCATTTTGAACTGGGATTGATTGTTAACTGCACTTCATATTGGGTGATTTATCTGATTTTCTGTCATCAGATACATGTACAAATTTGTTGCTTTTTTATAAATTATATGACAGGAGCCACTCTGTCCCAGTTCCATATTAACTAAGTGAAACAAATATAAATATATAGGTTTGGTTGTATAAACAAGTTCTATACTGAAAGAGATCTTTTGGGACAGTGGAATTTTTAATTCACGATGTGGACGTGCCGGTATTGCACTAGGATGGACGAGATCAGAAATCACCATACCAGATTATAGACCAACAGGTTTATCTAAAAGAGAATTACTCCTTCTTCAAGTGTTTTATTAATTTTTTGTCGGACATTTCGAATTGGACATTAAACATAGGCTCTGTCTACCCTCTGAGGTGGACGTGAAAAATCCAATGGTCCCGTTTTCCAGAACAGCAGGGGAGCACCCCTAGTATTCTGGTAAATATTTATCCCTCATCACAAAGGGATCATCGGACTTTTTCACAGTAATGTTTGTGAGCTTTCTTTGTGCGTTCGGGCTGCTACATTTCCAATATTACAACAGTGAGTGAATTTCAAAAGTGCTTTATTCGCGTATTGCACTTTTGCGTGGTTGGAAAGGCACAAACGCAAGTCCTCTTTTTCAAAAGCATGCAAAAGTGTAATGTGAAGGTAGGAGAAACCTTACACAAATGCTGCGGAACAGAATGAAACACAGCATCAGAAATAACACCAGAAACAAAGGGATGTCAGAAATAAAGGGATGTGGTGAACAAGGCAATCACATAGGATAAACATTAATTGCAGTCGATGGGTTGAATGGGCACGTTTTCATTATAAAAACTAAAAGAACTGCGGATGCTGTAAATCAGGGGCAAAAACAAAATTGCTGGAAAAGCTCAGCAGGTCTGGCAGCATCAGTGAAGGCGAAAACAGAGTTAACGTTTCGGGTCCGGTGACTCTTCTTCAGAACGTTTTCTTGATAAAATTTCTAACTTCTATTAATGAGAGATGTTAATGCTGAAGATTTGTTATTAAGGAAAAGGCCCTAGAAGTTTTGATTTCTAATATTTGTAGCATTTTGTAACTATGTCAACCAAAAGATTTTCTCATGATTGAGCTACGTAATATTTTGAATATGAAAATAAAGACACTAGTGCTAATTTAATCTAATTTCATATGGTGGTTAGAATAAAACGAGTTAACTTTGAATTTACGAAAAACTGACCCTCGGAATGTTTGAACCGTATGAAATGAGATAAAACGATGCAACTGCGGCACCCCCTTCGAACCTGTTTTATAACTGAAGACTTTCTGTAAAGCTGGCAGAGCAGCAGCGGAACCTTTTTTTGGTTCCATTTACTGCAGCGTGTCGAGGGGAGTTTGGGCGGACAGGGTTTTTGGGTGCGCACTCGCCGGGTTCGTGTGGCGATTTAAAGAAAGGAATCGGGAATTATTTGAAAAGAGCTCCGCGTGACAAGTGACGCTTGTTTGCTTGTGTCCGCGAGCTTGTTCTCGGGGGGGGGATACAACCGCTAGCGCTCGAGCGGGGCAGGAGAGTCAACAGCCGGTTCCCAACCAGCATACAGCCGGCCTTGGACATTTATGCCGGATTTAGAGCTACGAAAAGAGTACGCATTTAAGTTGCTCTATCACCTTTGTTTAAGTTGGTAATGCAGTTTGTATTTCTCTTGTGAAGAAATAAGGGAAGGCTAGCAGAAGGCGTTGCAACACCTTTGTTCGTTTCTTCGAGCTGCCACCCTGTTCCTCCCTCCGAGTTGACGCTACTCGTTCCGAGGAAGGAAACAAATGCAGGTAGGAAGTATATAGTTTTGACGCGCGCAAAAAAAAACAAAAGTTTTTGAAAATCAGAGACCTCTGTCAACTACTAGTGAATAATTCCCCTTTGAAATGTTTCTTCATCGATTTTGATTGCAGTAACTTCAAAATGTGTCATTTTAACCATTTTAAACTGTGGTATTTTCGTAGTTCTTAACTTTTCAGCTGATCATATTGTGAAAAAATAACCTACCTCTCCAGATTGCTTCTATAGTTTTGGATAACTTTGTGAAAATAAACTTCTTCAGAATACAATAGTCCTTGTCAGCTGATTGCGAAAAAGTTATTTATGTTAATTATGACTGTATTTTGCCCTATTGAATGAAATGTTGTTCAATATTGCCAAGCTGGTTGATTTGATACGTAACAATACTTAGGTAGGAAATTGATGTGGCAGAATCCTCTTCTAAAATTTATTTATTTTGGCATTACTGACAAACACAGCAATTACTGCCTATCCCTCGATGAGGTATTCTGCATTCTTTGCAATCCAGAAAGCTTGCTGAAGTCAGCATTGTTGCTATGGGTTGGGAGTCACCTGTAGGTTAGACTAGGTAAACCAGATTTACTTCCCTATTCTGCTGTTGTCCAATAAGATTTTGATGCTACCAAATTTGTCATCATAATTGTCATTTGATATGGTTTGTCTGCAATATTAATATGTAAAAATTGTCTTTGCTTTTGTTTTAAAAAGTTTTGGACTGAAATGAGAACTGTTTTAAAAGCTTGCTTATGATTTGAAAACAAGTAACCTGACAGTCATGGTGAGTATTGTATAGATAATTTGGATTGTAGGTGAACTGGAGTTGAGGGGTTATGTGCAGATACTGCTCAGTAACAACAATAAGTTGATTAATCAATGGACTAGTGACCATTATTGATGACAAAAGCCTTTTGCCTGCCAGCATCCTGATTCTCAGGTAATTGAACAGCTTGGGACTGGGAACAAGATGCAGAGTGAAGTTACTTGATCCCACCAGTATGGGAGTTGTGTCTCTGTTCTCTGCAGTCAAAGCCCACTTTGACCGAAGAAAACCAGTTCATTTTCCTTCAGCAGTTGTAGTCAGCTGTGACTTTTTTGACTGATTTAAGACAGAGACCTTTTATAAGGTAACCAGCCACCTTGTGTCTCTTGCGAACCAGTGGAAGCAACCAAAGGAAGACAGCTGAAAAACAACGTTCTGTTCAGCATAAGAATCATCTCAGCAACCAGTGAATAGAAACCTCAAAATCGCCTCCCAGCTTTCCCCTGCCCATAACCTACTTTTTCTTGTCTTTGTTTGCCTGTCTGTAAGGGGAAGTTTATAAGGGGATTAGGAGCCTTAATTTGAGGTGAGGCCATGGCCTAGTGGTATTTTCGCTGATGGTTAATCCAGAGACCCATGTAATGTTCTGGGAACCCGGGTCAAATCCTGATATAGCAGATGGTGGAATTTTAATTCAAAACAATCTGAAACTAAGAGTCTAATGATGACCAAAATCCATTGTTGTTGTCAGAAAACCCCATCTGGTTCAATAATGTCCTTTTAGGGATGGAAACTGCCATCCTTACCTTTTGGCCTACATGTGACTCCAGACCCACAGCAATGTGGTTGACTTTTAAATGCCCTCTGGGCAATTAGGGATGGGCAATAAATGCTGGCTTAGCTAGTGATGCCCTCATCCTGTGAATGAATAATAAGAAAAATCATGGTGTTTGTTTGGCAGTAGCTTATAACTCTTTACAGAATCTAAAGACATTATTTCTTGTCATAAATATTAATTCTTGTTCAGTACAGGAATTTCATCTGTGCTTTCTATCAACCTGGGTCTGAGAATCCAGTAAATTGGGAATTTTGTGTACTTTTAAAATCTTTAACTTTTGTGATGATTTATGGAAAGAGCAAGGCTTGATTTCCAGTGAGTCATGCTAAAACAAAAGTACTATTCTTTTGAAAATGGAATTGAGGTTATAAACTGTAATCACCTAAGACTGATCCACTTGCTGCCTGAATCAGAAAAACAGATTCAAAAGGTCCAATTAAGGAGGGATCCCTGGTCTCAGGCTGCAGTGTTGGTGGCAAAGTTGAAGTCAACTGATGCCGTAACCCTATGTTCATTATGGCCAGAATATGGAATAAAGGACTCCTTCCTCTTCCTACCTTCTTCACTCAAACTAGCCAAGGAGATACTTGAAAGGTCAACACTGGCAGATAGAAGGCTTAGGCTGGCGTGATTCTTTAGCTGCCAGGGAAAGGCCATGGGTCCTCTTCCTAAAATACAGGTGCAGGAGAGGGCCTGACAAAATCCTGGACAGAGACTGCGGAGCAGGTCCGTAACCACCGAGTCATTCCTCCACCCCAAAGCTGGATGCAGTGGAGGAAGCAGGTCAGTGACCTTTTTTTTTTTAAATCTGTCAATACCATTACTCCATACCTGCTTTCATCTTATATGCGATAACATGAGCGGGACTGCTTGGTACATCCATTCTGTGGCTAAAGGAGTCATGCAGCAGTACCATATTTTATCTGAGTCAGAAGCTCCCATCTGTCTTTGGCCCCTCAAGGTCCTTTGACCATATGTGCTAGTGGCATTCTTGCACTCTCATCATGGACTGGTGGCCCTCAGCCACAGGAAGCATGGCTGGGATGAGGAAATTGTATGCTCTTAACCTTTGCATGTTGAGTTCTCATGCAGCTCAGGATTGTTTTCTGGTTGGAAAAACTGAGACACTTCTGAGGAGGAAGGATCCTCAGAAGGTCCAGTGTCGTGTAACTTCCTGCATTCTTTACCAATGCAGATATTCTTTTCTTGGGGTGTGTGCTGTTGGCTGGATTCAGGGTTGTGATTCAGATTTGGATGTGCACAAATAGCTGGAAGAGTCTTTGACAGCTGAGGCCACAGACAGTCAAAGGACTGAGGGAGACTCTGTTCAAGATAATATGCTTTGGATTTGCCTGCAACACAACAACAACGCTTAAATGGAGATCATTTAATATTTTTGGAGCTGCTAGAGGCTGTGCACGCCCTGTGCAGATTGTGGAGAAATTAGTCTAAGCCATGACTGTTGCCATGTCTTTGGCCCTGCACATATTCTTCTAAGTGACTTGTGAATGAAAAATAGCTCTAGCAGAACTCTAATTGGATGCTAGTGATTGACGCAGGCCTCCGTGCTATTGCCTTGTCCATGAACTTAGTATAATGTTGGCAAAAATGAGGGGGTATGAGGTGCCTGGACTCTTTGTTGCAGGTCCTTGCCCTTCACAGAGGTGCAGGGAGTTAGGTCTGTGCCCTTAATTTCAAAGGGAAGAGGAGTGGCTGCTTTCCATTTCTAGAACTTAAGCAGGGGGGCACTCCTCATTTAGACTGTGGCTCCAGCCCCTGAATAGAATCATCATCTCAAAATGACTCTTGAGACAGAAGAAGGTCTTGCAGAGGACAGCTATCAAAGCTGTTTCAATCCACAAGGCGAAACAAATAGCTGCCAGCCTGCTGTTCAGTTCATAGGAAAACTTTCTATCGAGACCTAATAAAAGCACCTAACTGCATTTGGGATATGTGGATAATTAAAATATTTAGATTTTAAAGCTTCTTTTCAGATGAGCTCCTCAAATATTTGGGAAGATAGTTTGGATTGTAATTTGATGTACTTGCTATAACTTTCAACACACTAAATTCCACACCTCGTTAATTAAATTCAGTGGTATGGGATTCAATATAAGCTTTAGGAATGGATTAAACAGCTAACTAAAAGGTAAGAAAGAACAAGTATTAATTAGTCAAATTGTGTACACGGGAGTGGGACCTGGGATTACTGGGTTTGGACACCTGAGTACTGCAGAGACTCAGTAGGTAGTTCATACTAGACAAACGTAGTCTTTAAAATACATATTAGGAAATTTTGTCATGCAAAACATGATCGAATGTGGATTATAGAATAAACTTCCTGAAAATAAATACTCCAATCATTGGACAAGTAATTCACTGTTATACTTGCATATATTGAGATCTTTTTGAATGGATGAATCAAAGTGGATAAATTACCTTCCTCATCTGTAATTATCTTTTGACTTTTGTACAGGGACAGAAAAGGGAATAGGGATAAACAGAACTACCGACACGTATACGGATAAAGTGAGTTTTATGTTTTTGACTGTCGAGAATGGCCTTTATTCTTACAAGTGAATAGAATATAAAGGTGATCTGAGAATTTTTTTTTAACAAACTTTTAGTCCAGAAGATGTGTTTTTGCCATGTATGTCCATCCGTGGATTAACATCAATGTGGAGGTGTGAGTATAAAGAGGCTCACTATGATGCATTAGTTGTACTAGTCTGACTGAAAAGTTAAATTGGGCGTAGGGAAGGAAAAGTGATGAATTGACTAAAATTTAAATCTGAGTTATTGGGGATTCCTAAAAACCAAATTTTATAAAAATATGTGTATGTGTGTATATAACCTGCTTGGATGCTCTTATGGATTCTACTTTGTGTAGAAATTAAGAACTGTGTCTTTTTTTAAGAGGCTATTCAAAGTAAGAAATTGTTAGAAATCATCTCTCCAAAATATGTGCCCAAAATGCCTGGGAAAATACCATCATTTGGCAATAGCACAAGGTTCTATTCGGCGGAATGAGCACAAGCCTAGCCTGTCCAACCTATTCATGTCACGTATTTGCCTGGTAAACCTTCACTGAACTGCTTCCGATGAATGCCATCCTTCTTTAAATAAGGTGACCAATCATGCTCCATATAATAATCATTATCTCCTGACTTTTGTATTCACTATGTGACAGGAGGGCACAGACTGTACAAATGGAAGAGTGCACCTGGAAAAATAGTAAAAAGACAGAATTCCTGTCAAGATTCTGTTCCATTCTCCCAATTCCTCCGTCTCCATTGCATCTGTTCCGATGATGCCAACTTCGACATGGGTACCTCTGAAATGTCCACTTTCTTCCTCAACTGCGGATTCCCGAACACCGTAGTCCAACACATCTCCCACACTTCGGCCCTCATCCCCTCTCCCACGACTGTGATAGGGTCCCCCTTATCCTTACCTACTAAGCCCCCATCATCCATATTCAGAGGATCATTAGCCACCAATACCGCCACCTCCAGGCACACATTCCCCTCCCCTCCCTTGATAGCCTTCCCTCCGGGACACCCAGGTCCACTCCTCCTTCACTCCCAAATTCTCCCCCACAGTCCCATGGCACCTTCCCCTGCAACTGCAAAAGATGTAACACCTGTCCATTTACTTCCTCCTTCCTCGGTATTTAGGGCCCAGATACACTTTCCACATGAAGCAGTGCTTTACCTGCACTTTAATCAATCTAGTTTACTCCATTTGCTGTTCACATTGTCTACATTGGCAAAATGAAGCATAGACTGGGTGACTGCTTCGCAGAACATCTATCGCAAAACAGACCCTGAGCTTCCAGTTGCCTGCCACTTCAACACACAACTTTGTACCTGCCAACAGCTCTGTCTCAGGCTTGCTGTAGTGCTCCAGCAAAGCTCAGTGCAAGCTGAAAGACCAGTACCTCATTTTTCTGCTTGGGAACTCTACAGCCTTCTAGATTCAATATCAGGTTCAACAGTTTTTAGGCTTAAGCTCTCCCATGTCCTTACCCCAAACCCCCGTACACCAGGCCTTGTTGTCACATGGTCTGCTATTACACACAACCCATTGTTAGCCATGAACAATCCCTATTAACAGCTATTCATCCTCCTAGCTTGATTGCTATCTACTCCATTGTCGGTTCAAATGTCCTCCCCTCTCTGAACGCTGTCTCCACTGTTTTACTCCGTACTCCCTGTCTTCTGCATAAAAACCAACATTTTCCCAGCTGCCATTGGTTCTGAGGAAGAGCCGTTGGTCTCAAAACGTTAACTCTGATTTCTGTCCACAAAATGCTGCCAGACCTGTTAAGCTTTCCAGTACTTTCTATTTTTTGTTTCAGAATTAAAGGTGCTTAATCTGAATGCATGCTGCATTTGTCACAGATTGGATGAAATGATGGCACTAATAGAAACAGATTAGCATGATGTGACTGCTATTACAAGTTGAGGTTGTGAAGTGATCTCATCTGAGACCTGAGCTTCACTAACCACAAGGAATGGGGTAAATCTGTTTTAAAAAATGAATGAGATCAAGATAGTAGTGAGCAATTATTTTACTTTAGAGGATCATGATTTAGAATTGGCTTGTATGGAAATAAGGAACAGCCAAAAAAAAGTTACCTATTGGAATTGTTTATAACGCCATAACAGTAGATACATTGTAGGCCTGATAAAAAATCAAAACATAATGAAAACTTGGAAGAAAAATGTTACCTCTTGGCAATTTGAATCATCTTGTAGATCGGAAGAATGAAATTGGCAAAAATAGTTTCGGCGATGAGTTCATAGTGTATTCAGGGCAGTTTCTTAGAATACATTCCGGATCAATTCAGGTAGCAGCCAATTTTATACTTGGCAATGTGTAATAAAACAGAATTCATAAATGATCTACCTGTATAGTGAAGAATCTATGTAAAAATCCTGAGAATTGGGATTCATAAATGCAAATAAAGGCTCGGAAATAAGTGACAAACGTTTAAGGAGATATTTCAAAACTCTGATCAAAGATATCTTCCATTGAGAAACAAAGACCGAGAGATACACCATTTTTGGCTATCTAAGAAAATTAAGGATACCAAGTTTAGTGATCGTATGAAGATTGAAATATTTTAGGAATAATGACCAGAAAGAGAGAAGAATTAGAGGAGAAGAGAGAGCTAGCAAGAACTAAAAAAACAGTAGGACAATAAGCTCTATGAGCAAAATTAGGCCATTCAGCTCATTAGTGAAACAGACTCCATGAGATCATGGCTGATCTAATGACCCTCCACTCCATTTTCCTAACTTTCTACACATATGCTATAATAGAAAATTAAGAAAGCTAATAAAATTATCATTCATTGCAAGGAAATTGAATACAAAGTGAGGAAGTTATGCTTATTATATGGGGTACTCTTGATCACCTTTGTTTAAAGAAGGATGACATTCATTGGAAGCAGTTCAGAGAGGGTTTACCGAACTAATACCTGACGTGGACAGTTGGACAGGATAGGCTTGTACCTATTAAAAGGTTAGCAGAGTAAGAAGCAATCTGGTTTTTTAAAAAAAATGTCATAAGGCTTCCTGACAGAGTAGATGTGGAGAGGATGCTCCCTTTTACAGGAGATTCTAGAACTACGGATCGCCATTGAAGCACGAGATTGCCCACTTGAGTGGACAGTGAGGAAGCAACTTATTTTTTCCTCACAAATGTCAGTCTTTGGAACACTCTTCCCGACAGGAACAAATATTTGGGCACTCGAGTCTAGCATTGAACCCACAAATGAATGAATGTAATCAGAAGTACAGATTGAGTCAAAGATAGTAGGAACTGCAGATGCTGGAGAATCTGAGATAACAAGGTGTAGAGCTGGATGAACACAGCAGGCCAAGCAGCATCATAGGAGCAGAAAGGCTGACGTTTCGGGCCT